CTGATTAGACTGCTACACGGTGGGGAGCGCAGACGCGGAGACGCACGCGTTCAAATAAACCCTTTTTTTTTTTTAAGCGCTGCCCTCCATCTGTGCCCTCTTGGTGGTTTGCTAGATTTTTGTAAACACTGGCAAATGCAATTTGTTCTGAAGATGACTGCGGTGATTTTTATTCAAGCTCATCTGCAGCGACGCCTCGAATGAACAGGTTTATTATTCTTCACTGTGTTCAGGAAAGCCCTTAAATTAAATCCTACGTTAAAGGAGGATCCAGTTTGATCCCCTGCTTCTCAGGATGCAGACGAAGCACGCATGCAGTTATATGAAAGAGATAGCCTATCAAAGCCTGCTTGTCTTCTATCAGCATCTGGTATGAATTCTAGCAAAACTGAGCGATTCCAGTCATAAAGGCAAACAAAATATTTTAACATTTTCTATAAATGTAATAAGAAAAAAGAGACAACAATATTATTTGGTGAATAGTTTTTGCCACCTGCATTTTATTTCCAGTTAAAACGGCGGATTACATCATATGACAAGTGTCATTAGTTGTTGCTCAGTGGTTAATGTTAGCCATTCACAGCAGAGTGCATGATACCAGCACAAGTTTTCAAAGGCCTGAAATTACACCAGACCATAGCTTGACGACAGCTAAAAGCTAATCAGTGCGCTTCTGCATTCTTCTTCCACACGTGTCGTCCTCTTTGGGTTTGTAAGCCGCTCACACAAAAGTGCGACTGTGGTAATTCATCCCTTATTTATTTGGCTTTGAATGACAAAGCCAAATAAAAAATTGGCATTGAGAGTCAAAACCCGCTGTGTTAATGTAACCAGTAAAAAAAAAAAAAAAAAAAAAGCATGCTAGACATTCCTAGAGAATGTAGATACGGACTTCTGGGAGGACGTTTTCTAGAGAAATCTAAAATTGACATGCTTGGACGGCATCGATTCAGTACAGAGCGACAGAGAATTCAACCATGCATCAGACACTGAAGGAAATCATAAGATAATCTGCAAAAAAAAAAAAAAAAAAGAAGCTGGTGCAGAACTGGATGCTGCAAAATGACAAGGACTCAAAAGAAAAGAGGTAAATTCACCCAGGAAGGATGACTACATAAAAATGATTCAAGGCCTTATCTCAGTGAGATGCTGTGATGTGACTGAAACAGGCTGAAGACACAAGAAACTGAAGAAATCTGTTTCAGCTGAAAGTGAGCCGAAACCTTCCTTCCTTTTGCATGGACTACATGGCTGCTCTGAGTTATTTTAGCAACACTGGCTGTGATAGTATGCTGTCCAAACCTTTCCACAGTTAGAATACAGATTTTTGTTGATTCCCTTCATTACATAAGATAGAAAAATGAACATCTGGTGTTTAATTACTTTCTTTACTTGGGACTAAACATGAGATAAGCTGATGGAAGCAAATACTCTTTTTAATTGTGTATTTGTACATTTCTTTCTCTTTTCGCGTCCCATTTATGTATTTTGTGTTGGTCTTCCTCATTAAAATGAACATTTTGGGGGTTTGAATGCATGTCTGAACTACTTTATGCGTCCCCTTCCAGAAACTCAGATTCAGGTCCACCAGCTGTTTCCTATAATCCAGAGAATTCCCAGTTGCAACGTTGTTGGACATTTTGCCACTCAGCTGAACCTCAGCACTAAAACGGATGCCTGTTTCCGTCCTCTGACTCACTGACCATAAACCCGATGCTGCAGGCTGACCCAATAGTTCTCAGCTTGGTGCGTAAGCCGCTGCGTTCCGTGCCGGCCTCTGATTCTGGGCTTTTTTGCTGGTGACCCAGCGCAGAGCGGTGCTGCAGGGTGGGAGGACCTGCCGTGCTGACTCCACTCACTGGGCGATCTGTAAATCGCTCTTTTATGGCCCTTGTAATGATCCCCCAGCCGGCAATATCCCCACCGTCGCACTGCAGATAGGACATGCCGTGCTCGCTGGTGAACATGGGGCTGCTTGAGGGGTGGAGGCGGTTTAGAAGATAGTGCAAGAGAGAGAATAAAAAGCACACATAATGTGACCACACAGTCACGCACACATGCAGGCCCGTGTACATAAAAAAGACCTGCCTTTTCACACCCCATCTGTCTTAATCCTGACTGTTTAAAGGTCATAAGGAGGCACAGAGCAGTGGAGTTTTTACCTCATCCTGGGGTGAAATGGAAATGTGAGCGACGTTATTTCATTCCCGCCAGACAGCGCTGGAATTGTTTTATTTTGACGTCTTCAAAATGTAAAATCGGGCAAAATTCCCAATCAGTTTTGCTGCAGCTTCTTTCGGTTAATTTATCAACCCAAAGCTTTAGCTGTAGTGGGACTTTGCTCAGTGGTTACCACAGAACATAATCAAACCCCCTGGCAGACAGAGGCTTTGCAAAAAATATTTTATATTTGCAACATATTTCTTCCAACTTGAATCCTACAGCACAGAAGTGTGTATCTGTTTTTATTCATTTATTTCAGTGTAAATACTAAGATAAATATTTCCTTTGCTACTGCTGGATTTGGAATTCAACATCTTTTGAGACATCTTAAGAGATGCAAACATTTTGACTGGACCAAAATTTTTCAACATAAATCTATCAGACGTATGAATAACTTTGGTCTTCGCTACACGAGAGGCGAACTGTGTCCTGAAGAAAACTACAGCCTACCTTTTTCACACCTCTCTCTGGCTCCTCAAATGCATTTTGGTGGTAAATATTCCTCAAGAGCAGCGCACACATTACACAACCCACCTACAGCAAGTGCGCCACATTTCTTTTTTATCTCTGCTATAAGGAGCCTGAAGCCTTCTGTCCAGGCTGACAGGCTGCCTTATGCTACCGTTGGCGAGGCCGATTTGCTTTGCCAAGTTTTGTCAGGCTTCACATATAGTTCTCGTCCTCAAAACATTAACACTGAGTTCCAGACTGCAACTGGACGCCACAGTGTTGTTGAAGGTTCGGAATTGAAGCCGTCCACCAAAAGTACCTCGAGATCTTAAAGGGCCCAACATCAGTCACTGATTGGCGAGTGAACTCTCGCCTGCACTTCTCTTTTTCTGACTTTCATTTCTTTTAATCAGACGAGTTATGTTGCAAGATTTGACCACAGTGTTCAAGATCGTACTTTCTACTGCACAGTCTGGTGTTTCTAACTTGCTGTCTCGTTGGTGCTGACGTTCTTTTGGGACTGATCCCAGCTACATATTATTAATAATTATTCATTGTCAACATTTCCTGTTTGCAGCAGCTCGACACGCCTGTTTAATTGCTCATGCTTTAGACATCTTATTAGATTCAGATTGTTTGGCATGCTAACACTTAAAGAACTGGTCAGCCTATTGCTGGGAATGACGATACAAATCCTAAACAGAAAAGTATCTCTGTTGCACGTCATCCTGCTATCAGTTTTGGCCTCGTTTTGGCTTTGCTCCCAACTGAGTACAGCTCTCTGCTGCACAACGAGCACAAACCCGAGCACGCAGAAGGTAGAGGCCTTCCTTTCAGCACGCAGTCCCCCTGTTTAGTATTCCTGCCATGCCTGTTTGGTGGAGCAGCATTAAATTGGGATCAGGCAGATTAGAGTATAATATAGACGACTATTAAAGGCTGCAAATGGGAGCCAGGGGTTAGAGTCTGAGCAGTGGCCTTGCCTAGCCATATGCTAAGCTGTGCAATTAGTACTTCCACACACGTCTTTATACAAATGATGCAAAGTAAAATAAAAAATAAAAAATACCAATGATGTTCAGAATAGGATCCTTTTTTAAAAACAAAAAAACAAAAAAAAAAAACAAACAGCAGTCACTAAGTTAAAAGGGCAAATTACAACAGAGGTCATCGTTACATAACTTGATCCACAGTTAGTTCTTTTTCAGCTTTCTGGCCTTTTAGTTCTCCACATTATATACTCAGATCAACTCTATTTATTCCAAATACAATACAATCCCAAAGAGATCTTGTGATGGACAGTAGAAGGATGCCAGTAATGCTAATGCTAACTTTAATGCTAACAGCAGAAAACAGTCAAACAGAGAAGTTCTGAGCCAGAAGGAGTAACAATGAAGTGAAGAACAATGAGGTTCCTATTTATTGGTGGGATCAATATCTCCACTGGAAGGCGGTGCTGTAAATTCGAGTTCTTCCGCTGGATGAATTTTGTCATGTTATCTTTTTGAGTTGACACAAATCGCAAGCTCATCAACATCGCATGCAAAATCAACAAAAAATTTTGCAGAGAATTTTGTTGATAGTTGATCCATTTTGACGTAAAGGTTTCTGCCATGTAATCCTACTCGGTGTTCATAAGTCACAAGCTCTCTCACGAAGCGCTGCGGGACATTTTATGGACAATGATGCCGCGACTCTGTCATGAAAACAATAAATATTATGCACTGCCATATAGCAGATGGCAATTGCCAATTGCAAATGCAAATATTTTTAGATGTAATTGTAACAAAATTACAGTTACATTCCAATTAAACCACATAATGCTGTTAAATGCGATTATGCGTTAATCCTAACTCTGGCCATAGTGGCATTAACCTGAGACAGTGTGTTTCTGTCCAATGGAAACACAAAGCAGATGCAGGCGGGTTACTCTGGTTCTGCTTTTATTGTGTTAAAATGTACAGGCAGTTTTGATCGGTGCCCAAATCCTGAACATGTTAAGCAAGGTTCTGCTGGAGATCTTTGACGAGATCTTGAAATGAATTGGATGCGGTCGAGTGACAGCACCTTCACAGTGGCTCCTACATTCCCGCCTTTAGCTTCTCGCAGGAATGTCTCTCACATAGGACGCTGTCTAATTGTCCATATCGCTTGGGTATATGAGGAGCATTTCCGTTGAGCATCAACATTTGAAATTTTCTACTGAAAAAAAATGACTGAGAAAGTCATTGTAAAATGTGAATATCTTCATCAGATGAAAATCGTTTATTTGCCTCGCCGTATTCGGTTTTCACTGAGTTCTTTTGTCTCCCGCTCGTCTCCTTCAGGCATCCGTTGTTCCCCCTGCTGGCTCTGCTGTTTGAGAAATGCGAACAGGCCACGCAGGGATCCGAATGCATCACGTCGGCCAGCTTCGATGTAGACATTGAAAACTTTGTCCACCAGCAAGAACGAGAACACAAGCCCTTCTTCAGCGAGGATCCGGAGCTTGACAACTTGGTGAGTCGATGACCGAGGCATGCGCGAAAGGTTGGGACGTCTCTGGTCTACGTCCCTCTTCAGGCGTCCCCTGCTGCCCGGCCGAGCGTCGGGCTAAGTTCCCATCCAATTGTCAGGAGGTCATTTTTAAAATTTCACACACACAATGAAAAGAAAGTTCAGAATAGACCTGTTGCCTGGTTGTAAAAGTGAATGAAAAGAGTGATTTCAGTCATATGAGATAATCAGAAAAATGTTTGATATGAAGAGTTAAAGGAGGAATGTGTTTGCCTTACTAAAATGTTTCGCATCCAAACATCACTATTAATAATTTATATAAAGTTAGTTTTTTTTATCCCCTTGTCATTCCACACTCTGCTTGCAACAACCAATAGCCATGATGAATTACAAATAAAAAGAGGATGCCTGCTGATCAAGAGAAATTGGATTTTAAATGGTTAGCCTTGTCATCACAGTACAGGAGGGCATGCTGACAAGTGCTGAACAGTCAATTAACCCTGCATCTGTGTGTTTTATGAGCCACGGGGTGTCAGCACCCTTCCCAGAGGGCACTAACTCTTCCACAGGGCAGTGATGTTACCCTGGGCCCTGCTGGCTGCCGTGGGTACAGGAGTTTCCGGTCCCTTGATTAAGGGAGGGCAGTTTCATTAGCTCATTTATCTTCTCCTTGGCAAAGCTGTTTCCTGACCTTTCTGTTGACCTTCAGGTGCAACTTTAGAGCAAAGTTTTACAGCAGGCCACAAGCAGCCAAAGATGCCAAAATGCAGAGGTACTGGCAGTATGTATCCTTTCATTTAAATACACAATCTAATGCCGACGTGTGTCCGTTTTGATATTTTTTCTGATACTTTTCTATCTCTCTTATGTCCAAATTGTATTTAATGTAAGTGCACTACTAGTAGCAGGTTTGAAGTAGTGATCTGGATTAAAAAGCTGTATTCACTTCTGAAAGATTAGATTAATATGCAGTTAACTCGTCCCAAATCATTTCCCTCAATCTAATGAATTCAGATTCACATTCAGTTAGACCTTAAAACAGTCAACTTCAGTGCGAATCAGGATATACTTAAAATAATGTTAGCAGTACCAATCCTGCAAACTTATTTGGCCAATATTTGGGTATCACTCGGGCTGGACTGCGACAGACTGGCGACCCGTCCAGGGTGACCTCGCCTCTTGCCCGAAACGTTTGCTGGAGAGACACCAGGACCTCCTGACCCCACTAGGAACAGAGGCGTCAGAAAATGGATGGCTGTATGGACTCTGCCTGGATGGGCACCTTTGCCCAGCAGGCTTTTTGGTTGAACCCAGTCAGGTTGCCTCAGACTCAGATGCCCAAACCTATGTGGGCACACTATGGAGGTCTTAGCCAGTATGTACACCAAGACTTTAAAAGATCCTCTTTTACTCTAATTTGGTGGGCACTGCACTCCAGAACGTGGTGCGAAGAACTTGTGTTGCCTGCAGCCTTAACATGCACAAAAGTGACGTGGTTTGGCGTGTGCCTGTGTGTTCTCTCAGATGGTGAAGGCGATCCAGGTATTACGGATCCACTTACTGGAGCTAGAGAAGGTCAATGAGCTCTGTAAGGACTTCTGCAATCGCTACATCACCTGCCTCAAGACCAAAATGCACAGCGACAACCTTTTGCGCAACGACCTCGGAGGGCCCTACTCTCCGTCCCACACCAGCCTCAGCATGCAGCAGGTTAGTCTCAGCCAAACCTCAGAGTTGGACTGTTTCCTCTGGGCATTCCTTGTGGCATACCACCAGGTATGCTTTGCTCTGTGCTTCGCCCCGCACCACAATTGCTCACCAATATCTCCTTCTGCGATCCCCCCCAGGAACTAATTCAGACCTCCTCTCCATCCATGACCTCTGTCTCCAGTTCTGTTAACTCTTCAGGGATTGTGGTGCCTGCCGGAGGCCTGCAGCAAAGCAACGTCGCCATGACCACCATCAACTCACAAGTGGTATCAGGTCAGGATGGGATTGCACACCCGTGGCACAAAACTTGACAAAACTGAGTTCAGATCAAGAACTGGAGGTAGCCGAACTGCCAGTTAAATTGCGGAGGCCGGTTTTCATTTATACCAAGGTTTGAAACGGTTTCGATTTCAAAACTACGAAAACATTTCGCCGTAGTATTGTCTGACCGTGTGAACCACAGATTGCTTCACTTGTTCCCATGTTAACTAAGAAACTAATTTGGCTGTTTGGAAATATTTCCATCTGCAAATATCTGCCTTATGGTGGAAGCTACTGCCACTGTCAGTCTTATTAAGATAACACTGTTTTAAAACTACAAGAACAGCACTCATACAGCACTTTTTTACAATACTGTAAAAAAAAAAAAAAAAAGATCCCGCACTCCAACAGATTTGTTTCTGTGAAAGTCTCAGTTTTTCCCCGAGAAACATTCTAGTGGCTGATATGGTCTCTGTAATCTATTATAGGATGACAATTTCAATTGAAATGGAGATAAGATGCATACCAACCAGTGGCCCTGGTCAATGTCTCGCATTAATCCTATTTTTATTCTTTTAAATTCAAAAACAAATAATGAGCAAACCATGTTGGGGTGCCCTCTTCCTGAAAGATGAGGTTTGCCCATCGGTTCGTGAGCTCCGTGCCAAGCACACATGGAGATTTAAATCCAAACAAGACGCTAAGTGATCACCTTAAAGAGGGTCATCCCTGGTTAAAACCCCTTCTGGGTAGTTGAATTACAATAAACAGCGGGTTAAAATTTTTGCAGGAAAACGGCTGGAGTTCAGGCTCAAAAGGCAGCTAGTTTTTCCACAATAGACCACATTGGTTTGAATTGCTTTTCATCATTCATTCATCATTAATAGATAAAACAACAGCATCCTCTGAGCCAAAACTGTGCAAAAACTATATACACTTTGCATTTAACATAAAAAAAAAAAAAAAAAAAAAAAAAAAAAAAAAATCAAAACCCATCAGGTTGCAGCTTTGGTTTCATCTGATTCAAATTCTCTAAAACAAAGAAACAAAAAACAAAAACCTGTTTTAAGAACCTTTTGCTATCCAGTTATTAATCAGTTAATCCAAAAATAATTACCAGACCACTGTTGATGTTAAGTCAGGTGGAATGGGTTGAGCTTTTCACATTTTGATTTCAGAAAGATTTCTTTCTTGTTTTGTTTTATTATTATTATTATTATTATTATTATTATTATTATTATTATTATTATTATTATTATTATTATTATTATTATTATTATTAATTGCTGCAGGTGAATCCTTTGCTACAAATGATCAAGGGTTCATTAAAGGAATGCTGTTATATGCTGTAATATGATAATTATATAATAACAATAATAATAATAATAATAATAATAATAATAATAATAATAATAATAATAATAATAATAATAATAATAATAATAATAATAATAGAGTTGTTGGTCTCTTTCCAGCTTTTGTTGTTCAAAAAAGCTTTGTTGCTTAAATAAAAAATCTGCAGAACTTTTTACCTGATTAATCATCAAAGTAATTGAGAGAATAATTAGTTGGTAAAATAATCAATAGCTGCAGCCCTATCATCACAACAAAGAAAGTTCACTTTGCTCTTTTCTCTCTGCAAAGAGAAATCCTGTTAAAAGGTGATGCATTTTTGACCTCGGCAGTATGGGCTCCAATAGATTTTCCAGGAAGTAGTCCACATGTCCCTCCCTCTAGCGCTATCGACGCGTCAGAGGAGCAAAATCCTATGTATCCAAAGCGACGCCGCGTCGCCACATGTGCGCGGAGCCTTGCTGAACGATCTGAAGATGACTTGTTTGGAATAAATTAAGTTCGACACACAGACGGCTTGCCGTGGCCGCGCACACAAATCGATACGATCAAGTACGTACCGTCTTCTAATGAGATGCAATCAGCGGAACTGGCACGCCTTTTATTGCAGCCATAACTTTTATGTCTGTGTATGCTTGAGCGAGAGCCGGGCTTGCCGCTCGGCTCTAATAATGTCAGGCTTGTACAGTGAAATGTTAATCTTGCCCTCTGGAAATCCCTTTTAACCCAAAATAAATCAATGTGTTCGCCTTTGATCACTGCACACTGTAGAGCTCAAACAGACTGCGATAAGAGTCTCTTGATCAAGGCTAATTAAGCCAGGAGCAAAAAAGAAAACAAATAAAAAAAAAAATAAAAAGACACTTCACCTCCTGCTTCTTGTTTTGTCAGGGTTATAGGACAATATACCACCTTGGATTTAATCACTTGCTTTCTTTATTTGCTGTGTTTTTTCGTTGTAGTTGTTTTTTTTGTTTGTTTTTTTTTCTCTTTATTGCGAGACCGGCAAGCAGTTAATAAGCCTCCGGTGGCGGTGCGTGATGGGGCTTCCAGTAGCCGCTGAGGCCACTTGATGCTCACGGTGGCAAATTATCCCCTCAGGTGGAACCTTGTACCAGCCGGTTGCCATGGTGACGTCGCAAGGGCAAGTGTTAACGCAGGCACTACCTCCAGGAACCATCCAGATTCAGAACTCGCAGGTAATGCCATGTACACTGGCGGCGCTTCGTCAAACCTCCCACTGTTTTACAGTGTGACTTTTCAACGCGTCTCTTTATGTTTCACTGAGCTCCCCTCCCCTCCCTCTGCCTCCGCTCCCCTCCTCCTCCTCATCCTTTCGCTTTGTTCCTTTTCATTGTCTCTACCTGAATGTGCCCCCTGCTGCCAAACAAATGGAAATTGTTTGTTCTTGCTGATGTTTGTCAGGCAGGATCATAAAAGACATTATGATCCTGTCAGGACTCATGGCTGAAAAGTCTTAAGTGTGGACACTATGGAGGCTGTAGGTGTCGCAAAGGTAACACTTTAGTAGCTGCTGCAGATGTGCGGGAGAGTTTATTGAGGTGGTGTGTCCTCACATACACGACCTTTTAGCATCGCAGGGCACATAATAAATAGTTCATATATAAAGCACCTTTCCGACTACTTCCGACAAGATTTGTGGATTTATTTAAAGGTAAAACGACAATGTACATACTTTCATATGACAGCACAACACAAAGTAGTTCATAGGTGAGAAGTGGGAGGGAAATAATTAGCGGAGGTGAATTCAGGTTCTGTAATTAGTGGCAATCGATTGCATTTTAATTGGAAAAACATACATCGTGTCGGGGATACAGCAAACATTTGGAAAAATAGGTTTTGGTCATGTTATTCCTTTTTTGGCTGACATTCAAAGCGTCACCGTGGAGTCACTGAAACGTGAGTGGCAGCATCATGCTGTGGTGAAGCTTTTTCTCAGGTTAGACCCAGAATCTGGGTCAAACTGACGAAAAGATGGGTAATTCTACAAAGTATTGACTCGGGGAGGCTACAGAGGCCTGCTACACTTTTCTGACTTTTATTTTTTTGACATTCTGCTTCTCAAATAGAAGCCATTTTGTTGTTCTGTGACCTAAAATCCCAGCAGAATCCATAAAATGTGGAAAACATCAAAAGGTGAGCAAGGCACGGTATTTCAAGGTGTTTCTGGAACAAGTTCAATTGTTTATCCACTTCCTAAAATGCTTGCGTGTTCACAACAGAGGATTCTGATTATAGAATTAGCGACGTCCAGTGCATCACAGAGTTACAGATATCGGCGCATAAAGACCTGAAGCAACGGCGTCGTATCTGCCGCAGTGCTGACTTAGATTTTCACACAGGTAATTCAGTGCTTGACGGTTATGGAGGAGCCCACTGGGTAACATCAGCCCTGCCAAAGCAGAGTGCTACATTTGTGCTGGGAATTGAACACCGCCCCATAGCTACTTTGCAGACAAGCCCGGGGTAATCACACTCTCGAGCTCAGTGCCGCCAATTAACTCAGGCTCCCTTTGCCATGGAACGCATACATACCCTGGGCTAGTGAGGTTATCCAAGTGAAGCCCATCTGCAACTGTAATGAGTCTTGTTTTGTGTCACGACTATAAATGCGACGCGAAGTTGGAGTCATTAGTAAGAAGCAAAGTTCCCATATAATGCACCATACTGCCGGAGCACATAAATAATCGCTTAAGTTTGGACTTCATGCACTTCAGTGCATCAGTCCCAATTTATTTATCATGGATTTTATCCTGGTTGTCAATAAATTGTTAAGTATTCACAATGCCTGGAATTTGAGCCAGTCACATATCCTGCAATCTGATCATAATGAAAATAAATCGGGTTGATGCCATTTAGCTTTTAGTCAAAAGTTGTCCTCAGTCGTCCAAATTGTGCTGAGTCATTTTTAGGACGAAAACGCTTGAATCGGGCCTGTTGGGGCATAAACCTATCTGATGAAAAACACAAAGGTTCATAAAGTTTCAGGCAGCAAGAGCTCCAATAACTCTGAGCGGAATAGAGGCATATTTCAACCCATAATGGAACGAGCATTCCTTCTGGGGAGATAAAAAAGAAAGAAAAAAAAACATTAAACAAAAGAAACAAAGAACAAACAAACACACATGGCAAGGTAATAACAGCACAAATTCCAAACAATGCAGAAATTGAGAATGGAAGAAAAAAAAAAAGAACATTGTTTTTGGAAGAGGTTGAAAGCTTGTCCAACCTGAGAACAACGTCCCAATCGTGAAGTACGGGGGTTGGCAGCATCATGTGGTGCGGATGCTTACCTGCAGGAGGAAATGATGTACTTCACAAAAGAAATGGCATAATGAGGACAGAACAGTATGTAGAAATAACTCTGGTAACCCCTGTTATGTCAAACTTTGTTTTATTTCAATCAAGCAATCAGTTTTAGCTATGTAAGACTTGTTTATTTCCTTAACACCCTAATCAACCTAAATGAGAAAAACTTAACGTTAAAGTCAGGAACTGAGCAGAATGTTATGTTGGGTCTTTTTTTTTTTAACACTGGATGTAAACATGTTGTTTCAGCTGTGAACCTGGGTATCAACACTGAAGACATTTTAAATGCATAAAGTGATTGTGCTTCTTCTACAATAAGCTCAGTCTCACAGAAACACGCACCATCCATATTTACGCTATATTTACGTCGTTGCCGGCAAAGGCCGTTTCTTTGTCTTGCATCCACGCTCCAGATAAAACCTCCTGAATAATCGTTTCTCTCCAACAGGCTCCAGACAACAACTGAGTGAAAAAGCAAGTCAAACACATTCTGCTTCCCTAGCAGTAATAAACTAAATCAGAACCGTGCTGTGAAATTCAAACTTGGGGCCAGACCCTGGGCTCTCTTAGCTCTTAATGTAAGACACCAAGCAGACTACAGACTCGTCGGCTCCTCTGCATTTTTATATTTTAAGTATCATTACTCAAATTCAGTTACCATGGTGACACTTTAGAAGGTGTTTCTGCCCTTGCTGCTGAAAAAAGGAAAGGTAATTGGTAGTCTCCCTTTGTTTCCGTGGCAACAATAACTAAGCCTAACCATCTTTTTTTTTTTTTGTGCCTCCCCCCCCCTTTGTGCTCCCCCTCTCCTTCTTGCCTTTTGCAAAGGTAAATGTGGACTTGTCATCTCTTTTGGACAGTGAAGACAAGAAGTCAAAGAACAAGAGAGGGGTCCTGCCCAAACACGCCACCAACATCATGCGTTCCTGGCTCTTCCAGCATCTCATGGTGAGCTTTGACATCCGCATCCATCAGATTTTTTTTCTTTTTTGTTTTTTAAGGAACTGTTTTGAAGTGGCTGCTGTAGGACCTGAAGAGATGAGGATTGTGTAAAGTACTTTGAACTGCCTCGTTGCAGAACTGTGCTGTACAAAGACACTTGACAGCGAATAGTCAAGTGCGAAACATGGGCAGGGAAGTGGAATTATTTGTTTTAACAGACGTCAACCTTCATTGAGAAGCAAAACACCAGCATGAACCTGGACAAAACACTGAGATTGTTCATCCTCCCTCCTTTTTTCAGCATCCATACCCAACAGAAGATGAGAAGAGGCAGATCGCTGCACAAACCAGTCTCACCCTCTTGCAAGTGAACAACTGGTAAGCTGCTGCAACCCTAACAGCTCCTGATTAAATCTGCATTGAAGGATGAAAGTCTTCATGCAGAGAGGCAGCACTGGGCACATGGGCAACTCCTGAAACTATAGACTCCAGACTCTTGAGCTACAGATTATTTTTTTGCTACAGCTTTGCTGCCATCTGCTGGCCATATATGTCATGCGCACCAGGAATTAAATACTTCCACAAATGCCAAATATAAAAACAGTTTTACCTTTTGCTGACTACCTTTTGCATATTAGCTATTGGTAATTTTACCACATAAGAAATAATTTTGAAAAATTTAGGATCTGAAAGTGTTGTTCCATTTTTTCTTTTTATGTAGCTATTTCTTCATTTTTTCCCTGTAACTTGTTGTCAACAGACTCACCTGTTTTAAAGCAGATAATCACCACAATAATATATGAGCCACTGGGTTTTTATTCACTCTTTGTCAGGTCCTGCTACTGGCCTTCTTGATAGTTTTCCCATTTTGGGGGATCCTTTGACTGTTTTGGGGTGTATTTTACCACCAACCATATCTTTGCAAAACAAAAATAAAACATAGATAACTAAAGAGGAATATAAAATACCTTGTAAATATGGGTTGTGTTTGTCATGCAATACAATATGACAACTTTTCTAACAAGAAAAACTCAGGTCCTCCTTGAATGCTAAGTTTGTTAGCTTTTATTTAGATTCTAATTATAAGCAGCAGCTGTGAGGAACCAAGCAACAACTGGAGTTTGCAAGGTTTACTGCTTTGGAGCATCCAGGTCAATATTAACACAATGCGACGGGGCAGATGCATCAGCAACAACCATAGAGAGGGAATTTTTGTTACGTATAATCTTTCTGAGAGAGTTTGCTGTGAATTCGTTGTCCTGTAAATTGTACTTTTTGCACAATTTGATGACACGTGCTCTCACAAGATTCTCAGTGGCCTTTTACGGACAGACTCCTAGCACCTGTGGTTCTCCAACATCCTCAACATTTGACACAGGATGCTTTCCAGAGTATATACAATGTTTTACATTAGACACACATGGAGTGCTTGTTGCTGAAAAGCCTAGTTTTGTCTTCCCAGACAATAAAGAGGACACATTTTTCTCCAATGACATATTGTTGGAGGCAAAGCCCCGACGTGGGCTATACCACTGGCAGACAGCTGTAGTGGTTGGTATGACCACATTCTACCAATGGCCAAAGAAATAGGTCTGAAGAACATCAGCGAAGCGCTGACCAAGGCAGCACATATCCAGGCCTTGAGCACCAGAACAATAGATTCCCATAATCTACCCACCATGTGCTTGCTCAAGAAATTACTCAGCATCTCTCACCATGGTGAAAGACACTAGCAGGAAAAATATCATGGTGAGCCAATGCAGTGGTTGTAAAGAGAACTGTTCCGCAAACCTCAACATTCTCAAAAATTCAAACCATTAAGACGTATTGTGTCCACCAAAATCTCAGAGACTGACTGCAGTCGATATCTTTAGGTTGTTGTCACCAGAAATGGTTCGTGTGCTTGAATGATTGAATAAATTGTACAGTAGTTTTTTGTTTGCTGATCATTACAATCCACGTCGTTAGGTTTTCCGTCATCCTTTTGCCATTTTTTTGTTTTTTTAAGGTTCATCAATGCCCGGCGCCGTATTCTTCAACCCATGTTGGATGCCAGTAATCCTGACCCGGCTCCTAAAGCAAAGAAAATGAAGTCCCAGCACCGCCCCACACAGCGCTTCTGGCCAGACTCTATCGTGGCTGGAGTACTACAGACGCACAGATCTCAGACTGTGAACAACTCAGAAAGTAGGCCGGCAGTCTCACAAAAACCAAAATCTTATCCACAAGTCACAGCCAGATATGTTAGCATGGAAACACATTTTGTTTCATGTCTTTAGCATTATTTTACACACTGTTGTGAGAAAATTTGAAATTGTCAAATCCAGACTGAGACTGCGTCTTCCTCAGAGGTTTTTGTCCCGTTTACTTCACTGGTTCTTGGTAAACACCTGGTCGCTCAAAGACTTTGTTTTGTTTGACACAGTGCAGTGTGAAAGCAAGACACACAGCTGGAGATGTAACAAATGTTTCATCGTCAACATGACTGGAGTCTGACTGTCTGGTAGACAAACCACACCGTCCAGGCCGTCAAATGTGAAAACACCTTCAGTTGCTGTTGATCACAGTGTCTCCACTGCAAGACGACATTGATTTCAGCTAAACTCCTTAAAAGCTCTGCAGGACAAACAAACAAAAACATTAACAAGTGTGCAACACACTCCATTTGTGTCGACACGTTTTGTCACGAGTGGATGTGAACTTAACGTGTGTGTACTTTCTGGCCACTAGATGGCGGTGTTGGCTAGTTTTTGCGACCTCAGTGAGAGTTTATTTCAAGGGCAAAGCTTGTCATCTTTTTAAAAACAAAAGAAAAGAGAGAGCGAGAAAACTTTTCCCTCAGGAATCAGATGAGCATGTTTTTAAAACTAGTTGGAAGTCTCCAGAGAGCAGCTCGACAAAGACAAAGGAACTGTCCCCAGAGTGCAATATGGATTTAAGCTGCCTGTAATTTATTCCCTGTTATCTCGGCACCTGAGGTGACGCAGATAGAGACTGAACAATGCAAGGAAGGAAGCAAACTAACTCCCCATTAGTGCCATTTCTGACCTGATCCAGTCTTGCACCTCATTAGAGCGTCTTCTTCATGTGTTTTACATATTAGATGTGGGCTGGTTTTAGATTCTCACATCCCGGATTTAAAAGTACAACAGTTCTGTGGGATTTACTGAAACAAACAAACAAAAAAAGAAGTATTCATTTATCTAGTTTGTTTTTTTTGTTTTTTTATTTGCTAAAAATATTTCTTTTGCTACTACTTAAAAAATCGATTGCTTCAGCTGTGATAATCTTATGTACAATAAAACAGAATAAAAATAATGATAACTCTTGTTATCACTGTTAATATTTCCTTTTGCTGTTCTCACATTGGCTTACATTTTCATGCTATTAACAATTTAGAATTGTTTTATTATTATTATTAATATGTCATTACCGCACTAGTTATTTTTATAGAATTATACAGTTGTACTTAAAATTATTATGAAAATTATCATTCTTTTTCTACTTCATATATTCTTTTATTTCAACCCTTGTTGATGCTCTTGTAGCCCAAAAAACGGCAAACTTTTTTAGCCCAGCATGTCTTTGGACATCTCATTATAATAAACTGCAGGAACAGCATAATGAAATATGTAAGCGTTTTTCTCGTCACAGTAACTGTGTGGCCAGCTGTTCCATGCCCAGACTAACTCCGCTGCCCTGTGCCACAGACCCGCTCAGCATGGACGGCCTCCAGTCGCTGACCTCAGACTCCGCCACCCTGGCCATGCAGCAGGCCATGCTGGGAGCCGACGACTCCATGGACGGCACGGAGGACGACGAGGACGAGGAGGAGGAGGAGGAGGAAGAAGAGGAAGGCATGGATGAAGAAGAAGAAGAGGAGGACGAAGAAGGGGAGGAGGAACATGACAGAGGACGGCAGCTGCCCGGCAGGGGAGGGGGACGAAGAGAGCTCAGCATGGATGCGGGAGACGAGCTGGAGTAGCTGGACAGGACGAGGGAGAGGGCAGCGTGAACTTTGACCCCCAGCCGTCAGCTCAATGCGAGCCCATTTCACACCACGCCGGCCTGGCTCTAATGCCGAACAACTCCTGCTTCTTTAAGACCACATGGCATCTTCACCGCAGACAAAACGTCCCGATCGTTTAGCTCACTGACAAATTTGTGTTGTTGCATCGTCATCGTTGTATGTCATCATTCAGTGAGCCGCTGGGATATTCGGATGGTAGCGCATTTTTGGACTTCACAGCTTGGGTTAGTTCTGGAAAAGAAAAAAACAATCGCTGTTTAATACATTTTGGGGATATTTTGAAAAATAAAAATAAAAAAAAAATTACAAAAAAATTAAGAGAATGCTGCACAAAACAACAAGGAGTAGTTTCCATGCATCAGAAATCTTAAACTCTGCACAGGAAGAATTTTTGATGGTTTGCGGGAACAGATATTAAACTGAATGTAATATTTTGGCACCTGAAGTTCCTAAAACAAAAAAAAAAAAAAAAAAAGGGCTGCAGAATGTTTTGGGTTTTTTTTTTTTCTTAACCTTGTTTTTACCGACAGGAAGTGGTGGTTTGATTTAGCAGCGAAATGTGTCGCCTTATTTTCTAAAACAGGTGCAGGGTGGGGCTTGAGGGGGGAAGGTTGCGTTTTGCCTTCCAAAACATCCGCAGAAGTGAGCTTTCGCCGCTGGGACACGGCTGGCGCGTTTAAAAACGACTCCGAGGTTCTCAGGTTGAACAGAGCCTCTTCCTCACAGGCATGACCCCCAAACCGACGCTGCAGCAAATCCGCATTTTCAGCATGACGTTTTAAAACTCGCTCAATTTATAGTTTCTTTTTCTGTGAGCCAAAAAAAATAAAAAAATAAATAAATAACACACACGGGAGGAGGAAAAAACAAACAAACAGTTGTACACCAGTGTGTACCGGCTGCTCATACAGTATGTAAATTGGATTTTTTCCTGTTTGCATCCTGATGTTGGGAGGTTGGCATATTTATTCAGTTCTATTTGTGTGTCTGCCTGCGTGTGTGCCCTCAAAGAGTAACTTGAGCAAAGGTGACAGCTTCTGACTCAAAAGAAGCGGCCGCCATGTACATATGTACTCGAATCCAGCCGTGGACTCTCAGAAATAACGGCCTGTGTATTTTTTATTACCTTGCTGGATTCGTCGCGTCGCTACGGACTTCTTGTGACAGCAGAAATCCCATAGCTGGAAACTTCGAAGCCGAGTGACATTTTTAGCAAAAGAAAACAAGCAAAACAGAGAATGGCGTTTCGAGAAAACTGGGGATCACGTTCAATTCTTTGGAGGGTTCTTTCGTCCAGAACACAAACAAAATCAGTCATTTCTAATGTGAAAAATGTTCAACACAGAAAAAAACCACACACACACATACACACAAAAAAACTCATTCTGTATTGAATGTTCTGATAGTTCATTGTGAAGTACTTTGCTCATTAATGTTCTTTTCTTGATCGCCTTTTTTAATGGATCTTCCAGAGCAACTAGGGGAATATTTCTATTTCATTTGTACACTTTGTTGTCAAAATCTATTGTGTTTCAATAGATCAGTTTTAATAATTAAAACGTGTAAATCCGACGTGGCCATTTGCATTTCCTCACATCTATTTTCGGCCGAAGAAAATCGCACACGCGTCAAACACGGCAACGCCATGAGAAATCGGCACTGTTTTTTTTTTTATGATGTTGGCTCTGATTGACCTAGAGAACACAGTTTGGAGAAAACCAAATAAAGTTCATAATGTATCACCTTGTACAACACGACACCGTGGTGGTGGAGGCCTGATGATCTGGGCTGACATGCAGCCAGCAGTTGAATGAAAATACATGGTCTGCTTGTTTTTTAGCCCTGGATGTTTCAATTCGGGTCATAAGAACGGCTTCTATTTCCAGCGGTCACCGAGTAGGAGGTGAGGTACAACCTGGATAAGACGCGAGTCCATCGTGACAGATTTCTTGCATCATGGCGACTGTGCCAACGGTGTCGGGTTTTAAGACATAAAATTAAAAATAATAATAATAAAAACATAAAAAACAGCAGCCCAAGATTTCATTGGAATGAGTGGAAAATGTTGACTTTTCTTGAATAAGTAATTTTTCTGTTCTCAGGTTAATTTTACAAACCTGGTATAAAGAAAAGAACAAAAAAAACAAACTTAATTTTGGGGGTTTTCTTGCTTTTTCCTGTGTCTGAATTTCCCACAGTGCATTGCCTACCTTACCTGCCTCAGCTCTTTGTGACATGCTTTATATAGCTTCCCACCTACTGGCTCTTCCTCAAACCTGTAATCTAACACACAGGAACACACCCACTCGTCGAGTCAGCTGGCGCCGCTTTAAAACCGCAGCTCTCTGAAATTTTGCTTCTGCATTCTTTGCTCATGTTTAACATCACACCTGCATCCTGCTACTGTACTGAAAACCAAAAAAGGTTTTTGCTGGTTATTTGCATTAATAGTTCCCTTTATTAATGCAAACAGTTTACCTTGAAAGTAATTAGTGGGCAATCAATGAGAATTTTAAATTCAACTTTTGTAACATAAAAGCAGCGTTTTTAAGCTGGTCACAGTGTTAATGTTACTGATGCATCTGAAGTGTATTTTGGTAATAATCCCCTTGAAGAAAAGCATGAATGAATTGATTTTGGTTTAGGTGCGTTGACTTTGGGATGCTAGGCTCTGGTAGAATTCCTTACTAGTCCGTAGATATGAAGTAAAAAGAATGAGTACAAATATATGATACAATAGGAGTCCAGGTTTGGCTATGAGTAACTGTAAATAATTGCTCAGGACGATTATTAGTAAAACTAAAAAATTATCAAGCACCAGAAAAACAATCCAAATAGTTTAGTCTCATGTATCCTCTTTAAAAGCATGTTTTAAAATAATATATAAAGACATACGTAAGTCCAGCGCCAGTGTTCTTTGAACGGTGAGATACTGCGCATGTTCAGAATAAACACCGATACGTCTCTCCAATATTGAATGCCGTAAACGAAAGAATTCAAATGCTCAGTCAAGTAAACTAGTGATAAAACGTAGGCGGGTGGTCGTGGCGTAGGGGACAGTGCAACCTACATTTGCAGGCCTTGAGTCCTCGATGCGGCTGTTGTGGGTGCGACTCCCGGGCCTGACGAATTTTGCCGCATGTCTTCCCCCATCTCTGTCAGCCTACTGTCTGCAAAAAGCTGCAGGAAGCTGGAATCGAACCTACAACCTTCCGGTCACTCTACTCCTACTCTACCACAATCGCCCGTTTTTAAATGTAAAACCAGAGTAACTAGATATAGAGCCAATGACTAATAAGAGATGCAATAATGCGCATCTCTTATCTCTTATTGTCTGCTTGACAAGTTCACACTGAATGAATTCCAGCTGGTTTAGACCAGCTGATAGACTTTATATCTATTCCAAATATTATTTCACAATTCAAAAGACAGAACTTTCTTTTGAGGAAGTATTTAGTATTTGACTGAATTAGGAGGCAAGTAATAAGGGCCCTAAACAATCTAAATGACTTATTAGCATTGCTGTTCTGGGATGCAGGACCTTTAGCATCTAGACTAACTGTAGCTTAATGAGTATGAAAACTCCAAATAACAAAATAAACATAATTTACGCAGTTAAACATTGTTACACAATACGCTCCATGGCTTGTTTCTGCCAAAGAATAGACAGACTATCCAAAGGTGAAGCTGGAATGAAGTTTGAACAGTTGAGTCATTGGTAGCTTTAACTGGGCTTTAACTGGGCTGTGTTGGACACAAAACCATGTTCGCATTCTCTCTGAACCGCAATTTACAGATACTAATCATCCTGACGTGCATTTTGTTTGACTGTGGGAAGAAGTCAGAGTACCAGGGAGGATCTGTGCGATATATATGCACTGCCTATACAGATTATGTTCAAAACAGTTTAATGAAATACAGGAAGCAGTGATAACGGGAAGCAACTTGTAGCATCTTTACCTGTCCAATCGAATAAACAGGGAAGAAACGAGTGTGTGCCAACACAGACACTCTTTCATTTTTGTACTATTTCGTAACCGTTTCCTCAGCCTATTAAAATATATATCTCCTAAACTCAAAGAAGCCAGGGATCGGAGTCAACTGCCGACTCCAGTTAAACATTTTCTCCAGTCTGAGAGAGAACATGATCAGAAGAGCCGCCATGAAATGATGATCTAAAAACGTTTTTTTTTCTTCAGAGTTTTGGAAAGAAACTGCTCCAGCCCTTCAGCAGCGCTGACATGTGAGCATAAAGTATCTTTTCAGTCGCCAGTGTTCCCCGTACGTCAGAACCCCTTGAACAGAACGCGGGCTCCATGTTTGATTCCCTCTTAATGCATGCAGTCAGAACCATGCCTGCCTGCACGCCGCGGCGTCTCAGCAGTAGCTCAGAGGCCGAAGTGCAGGAAAAAAATAGCATCAGAATGACAGAGGCTGGAAAAGCCACTGGCGAAGGTTCACTTGTTTGAAGTGGGCCACAGCCAGCATGCTTCACAGCCCAACCACAGCAGAGCCACAAACACACACACACACACACACACACACACACACACACACACACACACACACACACACACACACACACACACACACACACACACACAACCCCACACACACACGCACGCAGGCTGCCTCAAGGCCCACTGTTGAGTACTGGAGGTCTGCTGCTGTCAGTGCCATCTGGGCACATGTACGCTCCCAGATGTCCACTCTGTAATTAGAGCCAGACCCGGCTCGGCCCGGTCCAGCCCAGATCCAACCCCTCATTTACCAAGGCACTCCCTGAATACTTAAGGAGCTTTCCAACCCCACGCTGGCCTCAAGAGGGACACAGTGGCTCCACAAACAACGGATATCAGGGGAAAAAGACTGGAAAACTAAAAGTAAGGAACTTAAAGGTTTCATTACTCGTTGAAGCTTATTTTTTGTTGTTGTTGTTTTTCTTTATTTTTTTCTTTATTTATTTTTAAAAAGCCTACGAGACCCAATGACATTTCCGTGTTATTGTATTCCATTTTATCAATAACCGACAACGCAGTGGGAGGGACGTGTTGAAGGTCACGAGCTGGACTTTTTTTTTTCATTATTATCATTTATTTATTTATTTATATTTTTTTTATGCACAGTTGAACTCTTCAGCCGTCTCCCTCTCCTCCTTTACTGTCCTGAAAAATAAGCGTCTCTGTTATCACCGGGTAGGTATCCAGAATGTCAATCGCCCAGGCAGCGGCCAAGGCCATGCTATCAGATGCCCTGCTGCAGGACGGCTCTGGGATATACAGGATCAACCACCTGGAACTGGAGCTTCCTCTGGACAAGGTCATCAAGTATGTGTCTGTGGGCCTCCCACTAATGCTGGTTTGCATGGCCTTCGCCCGCGAGATCTCCCTGGGTGAGCAGTTCTGCCTCTAAGCTGTTTTATTTCTATTTTTTTTTTTGGTTGTTGTTTTTTCTTTTTCTTTTTTTGAATAATACAGTGGCAGGATATTTGCTTTGTTTTCCATTTGCTTTTGCCCTTTATTGTACCCTGCAATAAGAGCTTGGCTTTGTGTTCCACAGTGGTGGGTTTTTTTTTCTTTTGTTTGTTTGCTCTTTTTAAGCAATATTATAATTTTCTGCATATTAATAATGTTGTCCTCAGTCCTGAACAACGTTGTGCCAGTTCGCCCTCAACGAGAACTACTTCTGAATTCATTCAGCCCAGAGTAAAATGATAAATTCATGATCACAGTTCAGCGCAGCTCTCACACAAATGAGTTCTTTTTCAATTATTATATTTTATGTATATAAAAAAGATATATATTCGCACATTAATTGTACAGGATTTTCACCCCGGCCTTTAACAGCTTATTAAAGGCCAGGGTTAATTCTCTCCTGTTCTTTTGCTCACAGAAATGGCTAAATAATAAAAAATAAAAAAACAAACAAACAACAACCTCGTTCGACAGCTTATATGAAGGGAGAGTTAATTTGAATGTGCTCATGCATGAAGTTGCTTATTTCTTACTTGCTAACTAAATTTAGTCAAACGTTTCAGGAACATTAGAATAAAGATTGATGCGTTCCAATTAGCTCGACTCAAAATTGTTTGGAATCAACAGAGTGGAAGTCCGTGAGACTGAACGTAAACACGGGCTGCGGGGGGAATTTGAATGCACCGCGTCTCGTTTGTACGAGCTTCCCAGATGCAGCAGCGTTGCTGCTCTTGCTTACTGGGGCTTCGGCACAAACTAAAACCGCAATGATCTCTGCTGCAGCAGTTAACCTGAACGCATTTTATTTATTTTTTTTGGGGGGGGGGGGGGTTCAGAAGTAAGTTAAATGATGATTTTTCTCCTGCAAATGGCAGCAGCAGCCAAACAAAGTCCCTGAAAGAGAAACTCCACTGGGGAGTTGATTGATTTTTCTGCCGTTTCATTTGTCATCTAAAAGGTTTTCAGCCAATCTTAAATATATATATATATATATATATATATATATATATATATATATATATATATATATATATATATATATATATATATATATATATATATATATATATCCAGAATGGAAAATCTCATGACCACAGTGTCTACAGTCATTCTAACAGGAGGGAGAGAGTGAGGAGACTGACTCTCATGACTTTGAACAGAATGTCTTCCCTTCAGAGCTGGCCTGCAATCAGCACTGATGCTCCTCATGCTAATTACCACAGGGGATGATTGAGAGCCGCGTTTACTGAGACGGGCAAACTGTAATTACAAGGCAAAGTTCTTGTGTGGCGGCTCCTCTCTATTTGAGTCAAATGAGCGGATATGTTGATCAACCAGCAGCGGGTGGGGGAGGGGGGGGAGTCGGAGCGTCGGGCTCATCTCATGGATCCCGGCCGCCTGGTTTGACAATTTCACAACAGGGCTTGATTGCTCTGCCGCGGAGAAGTCGGGTTTACTTGCACCTGCACTCTCAGCCAAGAAATCTCGTTCAAGGCACAAATGTGGCGGGGATCTGCCAGCGTTAATTGGGGATTGGGAGACGGAGGAGCAGCAACGGCACCAGCTTCTGCTCCGTCGCCAAAAAGGCAGAGGTTGAAGGATTTTCCAAGATTTCCACTAACAAGTGGTTATTTGTGTATCTACTTTTTGCCAAGGCTGATTTGGTAACTCATGTCTGCCCATGCAGTCACAAGCAAAAAAAAAAAAAACAAAAAAAAAAAAAACAGGAGAAAAGAAAAATGATTCCCTGCAAGTTGTTGGTTTACTTCCTTGAGGATTAATAGTGTTAACTCCTGCCTTTCGTTTTTGGAGAGTTTCACACATGAATCACCTAGCAACTGTGCGCGGAGAGTGTCGTCGGGGTAACACTTGCAGGGTTGCGCCATCCGTGTGGCGGCATTATGGTATTTAATTACTGGTAAAAGCCGAGCACGTGAAAACAGATGCTCCTGCATGAATTACGAGTGCACAGAGCCATGTCTGCAAGCGCAGAACGTCTGCTCTACAAAGACAAACAAAGCACAGCAAGCTGGGCTCGGGTGCAAGGGCCTGCGCCGCGTTTCTCCTCGTGTTCGTCGCCGTTCCGCCGAGGCTCGATAGTCAGGTTGACATTTGAGACAATGGCTGACGTCTCCTCTCACGACGGCTGCATGACCCACATGCTCAGCAGGTTCAGACGGTAGACGTCACTGCAGACATTAGATTCATTTGAATCGAGCTGATCTGATGGCGCTCTGAGTGAACGAGGACATTCGTGGGATTTGCCTCGGTTTGCACCTTGGACACGGAAGTGACACAAAAACCAGCAAGCAGATGGCAGACAAGTGATAATTGCTGTAATTCCACCTTTGCACATTGATCGGCCATGTAAACTCCAGACTTTATTGCAAAATGAATTGCTCTGTTTACTTGTTTTAGTACTTCCAAATCCATTCTATGTGGTTATATGTATGTCTTTCCATTTAAATCTCCCATGTTTGGGGTTTTTATGCACTTTTTTGTTGTTGTTGTTGTCACACATGTAGTCCACCAGTACATAGCCATGTTTCACTCAACTTTTTTTCATTCGTATTTTGAAATATTACATTAGAAAAGGTTGATGTAAACAGCAAAACTTGAGTGGACTTCGCAAAAAAGATTTTATATTTGCTCAAGGTGGTTTTTCGCTTTTCCAAAAAAAAGCTAACATACTAAATGAGAGATGAAAGCGTAGTTGCCAAATAAGTCATGCTAAGAGTAGCAAACTTTAACCTAGCAATTTTCGCAATCAGACAGCACATAACTTCACAAACAGTTGACAAGACAGGACAGCTACAATCGGTCCAATAGCAACACAATCTTGCAAACATCTCCCCATTTCTCTGAGATGTGTACTCCATGCTAGCTTCCAACCTCTGCTTCCTGTTTATCGCAGCCAGGCATGGCGTCGGCATCTGATGAAACCACACTTTGCCTTGTCGATTTGCTCCAAATCGGTAGATTAAAACACGTCTGATTTTCATTCTCTTTTCATTTTTCGCAACCTTTTCAAAGTCCGTTCAGAATTTCTCTTCGTGATCAGACGGCATCGTAGCCGTTGTGCATCATCTGCCTTGATGTAGATTGAGATGCTGAATCGAGCGGCGAGTCGAGTCGGGGCAAAGATCAAAGCTGTCCGCCACCTTAAAACAACTCCAGAACATTGAAAAACGCCACAGAAGTCGTAGACTTAAAACCTTTGGTAGAAAAGGGAAGCAAAGGAAAATCAATGACAAAGAGCTCATTATATGTCTAACTTTTTTTTCTTTCTTTTTTGGCTTTGCCTCACTTTTGTTTCAGAAACACTCTGACAAAAAATTCTTTATGTGACGTGTTTTCTCAGTGGGTTTCAGAAACAAGGATCGCTCATGAGACGAGGTGACACCAGAGGAGTGTCTGATCCCACGTACACACAGAGACCTCTTGGTGAAACCCTGCAAACAGATTCAGCATTCTCCAGCACGCCGCATCCGTGCCTCAAGGCAGTGCGTCTGAACCCCGGCCCCCGGGGGCCCACGGCCCTTTATGTTTTGGAGCTTTTTTTCTGTTACAGCATAACTGATGCAAATGATTGCATAACCCCCATCAGCACCCCACCGAATCCTTCAGAAGCAAAAAAAAAAAACAAAAAAAAATCCATTAGTTTAAGTCAGGTATGTGGCACCTACTGCAGGACAGTGGGCCCTGGGAAACCCTGAAATAGAGCCTTTAAATATCCTGTAGATAAATCTCAACATACATATATATATAAAATATTTGAAATCAATTGTAATAAAATAATGGTGGCCTTAATTCACTGCAACGAGACAGGAAACGTTACGGGGAGGACAGGGGGAGAGACAGGGACTCGCAGACAGCCATGCTGAGAACTAAAAGCCTCTCTGTATGCGAGGTGCTCACACCACCCACAAAACAGTTTTTCTTTCCAGCCGTTTGTGGATGACATCTACAAGCCTTTGCCTCACAGAAACGACAACTTTCATAAAAGTTTGTGAAAGGCCATGAAAGTTCCTGAATTTAGCTTGCATGGTCCATGCAATTTAGCTTGCATGGACCAGATAAAAATATCTTAACACGTTCTATCACAATTGTTATTGTCCACTTCACTTTTGTGTTGAGCTTTTGAGTCAGGTTTCAAGTTTAAAAATAATGAACCACCATCTTAACTACAGACATCCCCACCAGTAAAGTGGATTTAGTTTCAGCTGACTAAGAACACACACATATGATAAGAGCATATGGAAACATGTAGCTGTGATCTATAATAAGGTCGGCTTGTAGCGTGAATCACACCCTCTCAGTAAATTAGTGGCTGTGAGTTTTTACTTCCAGAGCTGGCCAATGGAAGGCGAGGCTAAAATAAAAAATAAATTAAAAAAAGTCTCTCTCCCATCACTCTGAAACTGGGTGGGACACACCAAGGGTGTGCCCCACCTCAGCATACTGTTAGAGGGTGGAGCAGCCATGGTAAATGACAGATTGGTGTAGAATGGATTCAAGTGGTTGAACCACATGCGGTAATATCTAGGTGAACTAAATATAAGGCTGCAGAAGCAACAAACTTAGAAAGGAGTCATCCACGGTTTTTAAATGTCAGGTTGCCATTTGGAAACATGTGATTTCTCTGCTGAAAATCTGTATCACCGAAGGGAAAAGGGCAAAAACAAGCTCAGATCTCTGTGTTTGGTAATGAACCTCCAGCGCTGCTATCTGTCAGTTTTTATGTGGAGATTTGGAGTGCAGGGAGACGGCTCACAGGCGCGCCGACGCGCCATGATCAAGTGAAAGTTGTAGAGCTACTCCTCACGTTTGCAGCTCAAATTGCAGCTCTGATTTGTTTATTTCGCAGGGCCTCAAATCAGCTGCTTCCCTCCCAGCAATTTCACAGTCAAGCAGGCCGGCTATGTCGACACGTACTGCTGGGATTCTCTCATGCATCACGAGTTTGACGGCGACGGGAACTTTGAGGAGCGCTCTCTCTGGGTGCACAAAGTGAGTGGAAAGCGTTTGACTGGGTTCCCTTGACTTGCTTCACCCATTTACCTTGACTGATAGACTCCAAACAGTAATACGCTGAAGCCTTTTTCTTTTTTCTTGCAAAACAACTTCAGCTGAAAATGTCACCATACATTTTTAATGAGGACCTCATTTGCAAACGCAACAGAAAGTTCAAGTTCTGGTTTGTTTGAACTTGTTCCTGCCTCTTTATTGCTTCCTTGGCCCACTTCTGTCATCTTTCTCTCGTCGTCGTTTCAGATGTTTCCGTACTCCCTGTTGGCCATGGCCATCCTGATGTACCTGCCGGCTCTCATCTGGCGCCAGCTTGTCACGCCCACACTGGGCTCAGACCTCCTCTTCATAATAGATGAACTTGACAAGTCTTACAACCGATCAGTCCGACTGGCCCAAAGCATTCTGGATATGCGGCAGAATACGAGAAACCCGCTCACATTTCAGGCTGAGCTTCAAAGGTACGACTTCTCTGGCTCTGCTCATGGCACAAACATTTGTTATTTTATATTGGCCTGTCAAATTCTACATGGCTCTGTGGTCTTGCTTATGGTGACGAGCACAACCTCCTGGGTATTCATTCACCCCTCCGGAATCCTAATGATTCCAGAAAATTTAATTTTCATCACAGTGGTAGAAAAACATACCGAGACAATAAAAAAGAAAAGAAAAAACATACTGCAGAGAAGCTGTTGAGGAAACTGTGGCCAAGAATATCAATTTGATGCATAAAGTATGTATTCTCCCATTATGTAAATCTATAAATAGTCTGGTTTCCATCAGTTCTGCCAAGAGAGGACTAAACACATTTCTCTTTTACATTGGACAGTTCTTTTAATTTGACATAATTGTCGCTGTTGGAGACATAGTTTGCATGTCGTTAAATATTAAGTATCAGCATCTACATGCTGAGGTTGTCCAAGTTAAGCTGCCATGACTCAATTAATTGCCACGTCCTTGCTACATTTTTCTTCAATTACATATTTTTACTCGACTTTGAAATGTGATACACTTGGACCTTGTTATCTGGTAGTCGTAGTGTTTAATACAAAAACGTCCCTTTCTCTGACTCTTTGTTTGATTTTGTCCTTTTATCGACCATCGATATTCCTGACTCATGATGTGTTTCACACGATAGTCATGTGACGTCCAATCCAGCAACATGTAGCGTCTTGAGGACTGTGATCGTGTTTGAGAAAAACACCAAAGTCTTCTTGACTTTCTTCTTCTTGTCTATTTCCAGAGCCAAGCGGAAGAGATACTTTGAGTACCCCCTGCTGGAGAGATACATGCAGTGCAAGCAAAATTCTTACTTCCTCGTCAGCATGCTGTTTTTGCGGGGCTTCCTCCTCCTGACCTTTATGACCTCTGCATGCCTGTATCTTGCGTACTTCCACCTTTCGGCCCTACTGCAGGATGAGTTCAACTGCTTTGTTCGCACAGGCGTGCTGCGGGATCAGAACTGGATTCCTGAACTGGTTCAGTGCAAGATGATTGGGCAGCTGGTCTTTCAGGTGATCAGTGTGGTCAACGGAGCAATCTACCTCCTGCTGGGACCCATCGTCCTTTTCAGCATTATTCGACTCTTTGTTTGGGACACTAGCTTCATCTCTGTGTATGAGGTCCTCCCAGCCCTGGATCTCATCAACCGCCAACGACTCGGCTGCCCACTGAATGACCTCAACGTTCTCTTGCTGTTTTTGCGTGCTAACGTAGCTCACCTGAAGTCCTACGGGCAGGTGAGAGCTCTGTGCTCTCTTGCACCGCCTCAAGTGGGCAGCGCAACAGCCGGGCAGGGCTTGAACGCTATGCTGACGCAGGAAGAAATAGAGGAACGCGAAGAAGCCGCGATGGAGCTCGCAGAAGAAATAGGGGAGGCCAAGGAGGAAGGAAAGCTCAACTTGGTGGACATCATGACTATTCTGGGAGCGGCTCAGGGAAGAGTGGTGAACTGCAGTGAGAAGAAGCCCCTAATGGAAGAAAATATGAGCCTGGGTACCACAACACTTATCTATACACTCAAACGTATACTTTTAGCATCTATTTTCATTTTCATCATCTGGGACGTGCAGAAAATCATTAAGTAATCTCCAGAATGCTACTGCTGCTTACATGCTGCTTCTCACATTGTTGTGTCAGGAGATTAAACATAGGTGAGAGCAGCTCAAACTGTAAACAATTAATTAAAAAGAAATGGTTTCTTTATTTAATTTTTTCATTTTATTTTATTTGATTTTTTAACTCCGTTGCCTTTTTGTGTAAAACAGAAAGTCCTGTAGTATTTCTTTAACATTTCCGGCACATGCAGACGAGATGGATTTGTGGTACTTCTTTGCCCTAACTGACCTCTCTGTTTCTTTACAGAGCCAAACCACCAGGGGTACCATGAGTTGAAGGAGACTGCACCATTTAGTCAGTACTAGACCTTCAATGGACTCAATCAATGTGATAGCAATGGGGAGGGAGAGGGGGATGGACACCAGTTGGGGCTCAGCACTCTAGAAAAAAAAAAAAAAAAGAGCCTCCTTTAGAATTTCAGGTCAAATTGTTCTGACTAGAAATATCAATCAGGTATGGATCTGTCAGGTTTTAGCTTCTGGGCATGTGTAGCTGCCACAGATCTTTCTTCTGTCTTTCAGCAGAGACCTTGATGTATTTTTGAAAAAAAGTGTCAAAGGAAAGTTTGTGTGGAAAACATAAAAAACGTGGTTCTTGTAATTATGTTGCCAGGATGCCACTTGTCAGGAGACAACAGCTCAGGCTTTCTGCTTAGTCAGTATTTATTTGATGTCAAGAGACAAAAGCTCATGTTAAATGGAAACTGCCGTATGATTGTGCTGCATGATCTTAGTACTCTGTCAGTGAATTTTCTGTGACATCCACTGTAACATTTAATAAGTATTACTTATCCACCTTGTTATGCACTTGCTTTTCTGAGACAGCTTGCTTTTATAATCTTTCTGTTATTTTATATTCACTTCAACTTCAAATAAAGTTCTTGGTGTCAGTATTCCTTTTTTAATATATATAAGCATAACGAAATTTGTGTCATTTTTTTTTTTTGATCAATGTTGTTAATCAACCTATGTAAAATGTCACACTACCTAAATCTAACAGTGTGAAAAAATATGCCCAATATGAGCAGTGAGTGACAAAGATATGTAAGAAAGAAATGATCAGGAGCAATGTAGAAGATCAGGGCTGCACATTGGGACAGGAAGAGCAACAAGACGGTCCAGACGTCTGTCTGCATGTAGTTTGCTTTCTGTTTCCACCCGTGTGTGTGTGTGTGCGTGTGTGTGTGTGTGTGTGTGTGTGTGTGTGTGTGTGTGTGTGTGTGTGTTGTCGTAATTACACAGACAGTTCAGTTTATTTATATAATGCCAACCCAAAATAGGCACTTTACCAAAATAAAGTCACACATACATTCAATTTTCCCCTACCTCGCTAACAGTGCATTACGTTTGGTTCCAAAAAGTTTTCTGTCTAAGGAAACTCAGCAAATTGCATCTTGTCGTTGACTTGCAGCATTCAGTCCTCCTGGACAGTCTGAAAACGTGGCTGTTCAGTTAATTGGTCTCTCTAAATTGTCCTTAAGTATGAGAGTGGGCGTGCACCATTGTTGTCTAATGCCTTCATGTTGCTCTGTAAAGGACGAGTGTCCTGTCGAGGCTGTTACTCCACCACTCTCCCAATGACGGCTGGAGAAAAGTACTGACATCACTGTGACCCTACAACAATGACCAGGTGTAGAAAATGGATGGGTAGGTGATGAAAAAAAAATCCTCTTATTATGTGTCTCACCTCTTTCTGATACTTTGATCATTTCTAATATGTTTATATTTAGGAACCGCTCCATCAGGATTTTTTATTGTTACAATTGACTGACAGTCATCTTGATAAATACAGCTGTCACCTCATTCCAGTGGCTGAGAGAGACTTTTACATGTTTTTACTCCCCCCCCGCCATAAAAGTTAATTAAACTAGCGAAATTTATGAGTGTAGGAAACTCTTCGTAATACAAACTGACAATAAAGCATCCCCTCTTCCCTGCTGGAAAGACGGCGGAGTTGTGTTCTTGTCAAGTCCCATTCGTGACAACAATTGCAGTGAAGATTTGATATATGGCTGTCACATCTGAGCTAGCAGGTTCATGGGGCTCTCTCTCTCTCTCTCTCTCTCTCTCTCTCTCGCTCTGTCTGAGAGTTTCACACACACAAGCGGTGCCCATTTTTCTCTGTGTTCTGTTTTGTTGTTTTTCTCCAATCAGCCAATATCCTGTGTTATATTCTGGCTCACACAGATATCCTCTTATCTCCCCAGAAACAGACAAGTCATCTTCACTGTCCTGATCACTCACTCTTACAGTCTCTCAGTTCTCGGGATTCAATTTGTAAAATGACAGCGCCAGCTGTTCAGTGAAAATTAACAAACTAAATGTTGCAGTTTCTCACTTTTTTACTTCACTGTAACTTAGTCTGGTGTGCATAAAGTACAAACTGCTGATGACTTCTTCACACAATATTATGTCAAAGCGTCCAGGTTGGTTCTTAAATGTCTTAGAGTCCATATAGTGCATCACAAGTTCAGCGCTTGCCTTCCATTTGGTAGTCCAGTGATTTAGCCGCTGCTTCACCTCATCCAACCATTTATTTCATTGTGTGTAAAATGGAAAAAAGCTGTGGAAGCTATGAAGTGCTGTCAGACTGTGTGAATGTGCCTCATTGTGACAGACTCTTGAAGTGGTGAGTGAAAAAAAACACATAAATGTAGTTGAGCATCTGTCAAGGTAATTGACATACAGCATCGAGCTTCACCATTGTACCGTGTTCTTTAGAGATGTAACGGTAACCAACACAGTGGTTGACGCAGTTACTTTGTCTCACAGACGCACAAGCAGCCATGTTGCCAGATAATTAAGCAAGGAACTTTTTCATATGGGACACATTAGTGAAACACGGCAAAGCCATGACGTGCATATTGCAGAGTTACACTCAACTGCCACTTCATTAGTGCCAGCTTTGACCCACGTTTGATTTAAGAACCGCTTTTGGTGGCGTAGATCAACACTGTGACAGAAATATTCCTCAGATATCCTGCTCCGTATTGTGATGACAGAAACACACAGCTGCTTATCTGTGATCATTTCTCATTCGATACCTCTCGAAGGTGCTGTGTTTCATTGTTGAGGTTACTGGAGTTACCTGACGATTAATCATGCCTAATCCTATTGACGTGTTAAAGAAACCAGTTTTAAGTTATTGGATAATTATGGTGTTCGGTCCTCAAGATGAACACGTGGCGTTTACCTGATGTTCATTTAGTACTAAGAGACCTAATGTGTGTCAATGTAAGTACACCAAAGGCAGCACCTTGATATAAACTTTCATTCATATATATATTTTTTATATCAAATTCTGACTATAGTCAAAACTTGTCAGACCAGGCAAAGCTTATGCTGGTTCAACACGTTGTGTTTTTAGAGATGATATTCAGAAAACCTTTAGTATGAACTACTATTGGCTTTGGACCATCTGAAAACAAAATATCGCTTTTCAAACCATTTCTGGATGAAAACCTCAGCAGATTATACCAGCCTCTTTGGCACTGAAGCATGCCGCCTTCAAAGTCACTTTCTTGCTCTTTCTGAGGTTTAGTTAGTTGTCTTCATCACATCTAGTTAGGTAAATAGATTAAGGAGCTATCTTGCGTTCTGATTATTTCCCTTTGCTGTGAGGTATCGATTGAACAGGTGAAGTAGCCAGACAGTGTATGTTAGTGGACTTTAACAATAGCTAAGCTTTAAAGCAGGCAGATGTCTGCTGATATACTTTCTATCAAAAGCAGGGCATGCCACCTCCTCTTCTCCACCCTTCATCTGGCACACAGCAAGATGCAGGCGGCAGGTTGTGATAATGAATATTCCCAGCCAGGTATTATGAATTGATTCAGAGCTTAACACAAAGGCAATCTCAGAGGCCTCTGCTCTCTGCCGCATCTGATGCAGCTGCTGCGCTCGGGCCACTTGAGGGCATCATTGAATCACGCCTAACTTAGACTGTCGTCATTGTTTGGACAGCCACAACGTATTAATTTAGATCAGCTTCACAACAGAGCCTGTTGATGATATTTACAATTCCTGCAATCAAAACTGAGGAGACTGCCATCCTGTTTCAAATGAGACTTATCAGACGTTCAGCAGGTCCCCTCTCCACGGCCAGTCTGTTAAAGCCTCTCCGCCGTAGCCAGACTCAAACAGTCGTTATGTGTGAGGATGCTGGGCTCGCGTTGGCTGGAGCCTTGCCTTTTGGAACGGAGAAGTTACTGGCAGTCTTCGCTTCGTCAGCAGGCTGGACATCAATGCCCCCTGTTTTAGCTCAAAATGCCTGGCACAATGCTCACACTTTAAAGAGGTGTTTGACCGAGAGAAATGAGAGACCAAAGGCATCCAAAGCCTCCTGTTCAGTCGTCCCCCTGTTTGCAAACATGATAGTAATGTTGTTACAGGGTTAGCCCAGATGGCTTCAAGTGACTCAACGCGCGCTGGTTCCACAGGCTGCGCGAGGCAGAGATGGAGAAACGATGATTGTTGACCAACTACTTCTGTTCGGACTGGTCCTGTTGTGATTCTTCTGGTTAAAAAGAAGCTGCAATGTGTGAACAGTAAACAAAGACACAATTCAGGCCATTTTATAAATAATGCATCTATTCACATAACTTTTCAATACAAGGCTTATTAGCCGACAGCATACGATATTATACGTGTAAGTTGGATGACACTGTTCTCTTCCTGAATTATTGCACACTGAGCTAACAACCAAATGCACTTCACGGTAGTTATTTAAATAATAGTTATTTGTACCTTAAATTATGAATTTACGCATCTAGGCAACTGGGAAATATGCTTACTAAAGATATATTATTATATTAACATTATTACATGAAGTATTTTTGGATTTGAATAGTAAAAACTGGCCCTTTCTACCTTGATCAAAGAGCGAGTGCTGCAGAGCGCATATCCTTGGATGAAAAAAGTTGTTGCGTATGACACTCACTGCACTATGTTTCCACTGACCAAACTGCACAACAAGCTGCAATTAGTGTCTTATTTTCAACAAATGCAATGCATTTTTACAATTACATTTTCAAAGGACTTTTCTATGACAATAACAAAACACATTATCACTTAAAAAAACAAAATCCAAGAAATTGGCATGTGGTAATGTTGCCTTTAGAACATTTAAAATGGCCAAAGCAGGTCAATGTAATCTCTGTTACTTTCAGGTGTTACAATGGTGACTGTTGAAACACTTTTGATGACCTTTAAAATCCACTGCAGTGGAGTCCTGGGTCCACAGTTTGTTAGTTTCATCAAATAGGCAAATTTGAACATCGCAGCCATGGTTATTGTCTTAAAAGACTTCAGAGTTGGAGTATATTTATTGCTTAGGACTGGATTCAGTATCCGGTGTCGGCTGTAGTGAAACTGGACAAACGTGCATGGGGTCCACTTCTGTTTTCACCGTGTAACTCATTGTCTACCAGAGATCTCCCTGTATGTTGAGAATTGTTCAGGTAAGAGATGCGTCTGGGCAGAGAGTAGCTTAGAATGAACAATTTGACAGTTGTTTGTTTATTTCCCTGTGTTTTGTTTTTCACAGCTTTGTAAATCCTTCAACCTGCTTTGGCATAAATAGACCTCAGAGCGTATAATATAAACATTGTTTTATAAGGTTATAGAAAGATTAAGGGTCCTTTTAATTATGCAATGTGAGTATACTCCAGTTTACTGAAGTCCTTCTTCTGTTTCCTCGTTTTGTTGGTAAAGGTGCTTTGGACTTATAACTAGCTTGTTGATGTCTACTAAGCCACTGCCTTCCTGTGATATTTAGCTCGATTCAGTTCTTTCTTGCAGCTCCTATCGACTCAAATTCTTCTGTACAAAGCAAAGCGTCGGAACGAGGGGCTCGGTTTTACCAGACTACCAACTGGGCATCCCAAAAACATGA